TCTGAGAGCGTCTCTCACAGTCTCTCAGTTATTGCCTAGGTGTTTTTATGGATCTCTCACAGTCTCTGTATGAGAGACTCGAACGATAAAATTGTTAATTCAGAGATTCGAGTCTCACAGAGAGACTGAATGAATAAAACTGAAAAATTGAGAGACTCGAGTCTCTCGTAGAAAGACTGGGATCTCTGAAATATGTTGAACTTAGAAAATTTTAACCATGTCTATAGAGACATCACTTATTGAGAGTTTCGAGTCTCTCGTTCAGAGACTGGATGCGAAATGAGGATCTCTCTATGAGCGACTCGAGTCTCTCGTTCAGAGACGTTAAACAATGTTTTTGATAGTCTCTCAGCGACATCAGAGAGACTCGATGAGAAACGGAGACTCGAGTTTCGCTTTCAGAGACTCTGAGAGACTGAACATTTTTATCTCGGGCCTACAATGATACATCTCTACAAATGACGTTTAAAACTCTGTATTGGGTTATATATTTGTAAGCCATCAATTGTTTCTCCAAAGACAGAGGTATTCCTAAAGATTTTCTGTCTTTTTTTGCGTAATAATCGACTAACTAGTACAACTGATTAATTGAAATCATGGATTGTTCCGGTTAATCAATTATTCCGATTAATTCATTATTTTTAAAAACTGACAACAATACGTACATTAAAATCAATTATTACGTTTATATTTGCATGTATATGAACACTGCATGTCTGTATTATGTACATACATACTCAAAGAAATACACAGGGATAGCGCACAGAAGCACGTAATAGTAGGAGAACTAGGAAGAGGTGATAAGTTTAAGACCCTCCTACTAATTACCCGATTTAATTAGCGAGACAGGTATTAGCTAGACAATTAATTGCAAAGAAATGGCAATTTTCAACTGCTTTTGACCATTCTTTGCAATAACTATTTAACGAATTTTAGCTTTTCACAACTCAAACTGAAGGTATTTGTATTATCATTAATTTTCTTGTAGATTTTTTTTAAATACAACGATAAAGCTATAGAACGATATAACATTAAAGAAAACCGATATTTTGCGTTATTAAAGCCAAATGTTGCGAGACGCATTCAAACTTTTGCAACGTACAATAGCAAGGGTGTCGGCAGGGGAAAAGAGGGGACTTTTGCGCTCCGCCTAGCGACTCAAAAACTTTCATCCCAAAAATTACAATATTTTTATTCTGACAAAAAATATACAAAATTCCGCGAAAAAAAAAATCGTTTTATACTTAGCCGTAAAAGCTGCACATTTGTAACGGTAAAAGATGAGAGCTAAACGAACCCTAGCACAAGGTTTTATGATAGAAACAATTACCTTTTTAAAATATTTATCCAGGCGAGAGACTAGGACATATGTAATATCGATCTTATTTTTATTACGTTCAGATGCAATAAATTTGATGTAATAAAGTTATTCATTCCTGTTTCCTGGGTTATTTTATTCGTTTATTTTTATATGCGTGTACAATTCACTCTATCGAACTGTCGGATTACAGTAAGTCAACTGATTTATTTATTTGTTTAGATAGGTTTCTTCTGTAATTAATGAATAAAACTACAAAATGGATTTATTTTCGGTAACTACGAAAGGGTGACAGTAAAACGCAGTATTCTTTTTCAATCAAACTCGCGAAAATTAACAAAATCAGAAGCGATCTCTAAAAATTGATATATTGATATAGACAATAATATCTCCGAAAAAGATTCAATTTGTTACAATTTTTAATTTTCAAAAATCTTGGCTAACCTCTCATGATCTTTTAATCGAGCTATTGTTTGGTAAGCATTATTAAAATATAAAATTCTTCCAGGTTGCCTTCTCCCTAACTCATTGGTTCGTGACGCCCTACTGGAGACGCAAAAATTCCCCGATTAAAGAGCATTTTTTCTTACAGCGTGGACTATAAGATAAAAAGATTAAAAGATAAATAAATTATATTAAGAGTGAATGAAATTGGGACAGAAATTATAATTTTTAGGTAGTGGTTTGTTTCTTCTAACTAGAGAATTGTACTAAGGCGGAATACCCAGTACTTTAATGGATATTGATCATGGTGGAGAGGCTTAAAACAAAATAAGGGTTTCGCTTATCAGTTTTCTACCTTATTATTGCTCAATGTGTTCTGGCAAGAAAAAATTAAAGTGGAGAGAAGGTTGACCAAATTATACTTAAAATGACATATGTTTCGTTAATAAATTAGCACATCCACATTAACGTGGCCCATATAATTGAACAGAATGAGAATATGCAAACGAAGGGGACTAAAATACTTATTGTAAAGTTGTAGCGATCGTGACATTGAGTCTCGAACATGTGCTAACAAAACACGTAAAACAAATAGAACAAACCGAAAACAATAATAATAAAGTCGGACGTGCGCTGGGACGCCGGGAAACTTTTAACGACAAACTACCATTCAAAAATCGGCCACAGAACGAACGATATACCCAAGCAACTCCACTTTAACGATCGTAGTTCGTAATACACCGTGATGTATAGAATTTCAGTTCGAATTTCGAAATAATAAGAAAACGAACTTTTCGCAGAAAGTGAATGTTGATTTTGATTTGTTCTTTTAGAAAAACATGGTCAGTGCATAAGTTAATGTGTAACGTTTAATAGTTAAATGGCAAAAATAAAGCCACCAAATAATTAAATTGTAAAATTAAATCAGTGGGATAATGGAAATTTGTTGTATTGCTTAGGTAAGGATTAGTTGATTATATGTTTAATTAATTTAAATTTAAATAAGAAATAGCAACGAGACGTATAGGTGGAGTCGATAATGGTTTAACAAGAACACAATAAAAAATATAAAATATAATAAAATAGCTTATAATCACATTAAAGTTTAAAAAATAATTAAATACGAGGTTTGTTCAAAAAGTATCGCCAATTTTGAATTTCCAAATGTTACGTATATTCGTTCTTGTTTTCTTTTGTGGCTGCTTTGCTTGTAGGTACGTGTTTTGACTCGTTTTCGGTTTTTGCCTATTCCTAAAATGGATCAATGAACCTGTATCAAATTTTGTGTGAAAAACAACAACAGTGTGCGGCCGGAAGTTGTTTTCGGCATGAGACGGGTCTCCGCGAAATTCGTACCAAAATTGCTCAATTGGATTCTGTCTACGACGACCTAAATTTGCTCCTGAGGGTCATAACTGGTGACGAATCATGGGTTTATGGTGATGACGTGGAAACCAAAGCTCTATCATCCCAATGGAAGCTGCCGCACGAGCCAAGGCCGAAAAAAGCGCGCAAATTTAGGTTAGATGTGAAGGTTTCCCTTACAGTTTTCTTCGATTACAGGGACGTGTTGCCTCATGAGTTCTTGCCACAGGCTAAAACAATCAATAAGGAATATTACCTGCAACTTATTTCAATTTGCGCGAAGCAATCCACCAGAAACGCCCGGATTTGTGGAAGAACATAAATTGGCTTTTGCACCATGATAACGTCCCTGCTCATACATCGTTGCTTGTACGCGAATTTTTGGCCAAAAACAAAACATTAATAATGCCGTAGCTACCGTATTCCCTAGATCTGGCTCCCCTGTGACTTTGAAACTGAAGAGACCCATGAAAGGGCCACGCTATGCTACGATTGAGGAGATAAAGACGGCATCGAAGGAGGATTTGAACAAGATTACAGAAAACGATTTTTTTAAGTGATTCGAGGATTGGAGAAAACGTTGACAAAAGTTTATAACATCTAGTACGGATTACTTCGAAGGGGACAAAATAGATATTCATGAGTAAATTTTTGAAAAAAAAAAATTCGCGATACTTTTTGAACAGACCTCGTAGTTTATAATGCAAGTAAAATTCATATAGATACCCTTGCCTAAAAATTCAATAAAAAAAACATTTTTGTTATTGAATACAAATATTTAATCAGTTCTTTATTTTTCTATTTACTTTTAACGAGTAAAAATGCTCTTCCGAACGGTATAAGGAACAGATCCATACGTAAAACTGTCTTATAAACTCTGTAGGTACTAAATATTCTTCCTATGTATGTCAAAATACCTATATCAAGTTTTCATCACTGAATCTGCAAATTACTTTAAAGGTTTTTTATTTTGTTTGACTTTGACTTGTTAATTTCAAAAAAAAGTTTATTAATTGCAACAAGTTCAGTTACAAGTTCATTAGCTTCTAATTTGTTAATCTTGTCTGTCTTCGTCAAATTTCCGACAGATTCCAGATTCCGGAAACTAAAGAGCATAATTATATAATTTTGTTTCACTTTCATTGATTGGTTATAGTACATGGAAACTTTCAACAGAAGCTCAGAACGGGCGGGTAAACAAATGCTTTGATGGTGTAAATGTTTCATTACACTCTCTTGTTTGTACACGTGGTGCACCAGATTGCAATCTTTCACTGATTGAGAATATAAAGACCAGCGCGAGTCAAAAAACTGAAAGAATAGGTCCATATTAAAAAGTTCCTTTTTAATTGCTATTTAATGTAAGGTAAACGTCAATAATCTTTTAGTTAGATCAGCCTTATTTGCGTATTCATTTCTTAGACTTCGAATAAAGGACATCCTGTAATCTAAAGTATATATATAATAAAGTAAATTTACGTAAGCAATTAATTTCACGAATTCTACCCTGCTTTTTTGGCCAAGGTCACTGGGTTTTCTTGAAGTTTTATCTATATTTTCAAAGGTCTAAAGACTGAGTTACTTAACACTTACGCAAAGGAAGAACCATCTCAGCCGAAATGTCAGAAGTTTTCCATAGACCACAGTCACAAAACCTGAACAAAACTCTTTATATTTATTTTCTGCTTAACTATTCTACCAATTTTGATGATTTCTTCGTTTGCATGAACGTCCATCATATTATAGAGATGAATGTAGTAATCGATGCATTTTCTACAATTTTCTTTCTAAAAATGTGTCCTGGGTGCGACTCGGAAGATCCACATGACTAACTTCCCAGTTATAAAGAAAGAAAATATAATATGTTGTATTCGTCATTATTTTTTTAATATTATTGTCTTATTGTTGTTTTCGTATAGATACTTTTCTTATTATAGTTTAATATTTTGTATACAAATGTTCCTAACATGCAATAATGATATATGTTTTAC